AGGAATGCCACCTCAAAGTAACTGGAAAATAAGAATTTACCTAATACAGTCTTGCCAGCCTCTGCTGTTGTCACAGGAAAGACCCTCTGACCTTAAGGAGGAAGTTATCACTATCTTACTTGCAGTGTATTTTAGGAAGAAGTTATTTGAGAATGTATGATATCAAGAAAATTATTCCATAATTTATCCTTTCTGTTTTACTTATCACATATTTCCAATTTAACTGCTCCCTCAAAGGATTGCTTTTGTCTCAAAGTTTGTTTTGTTTTTTGGTTGGCATAACAGGATCATACCTTCTTAAGGATCGGGGATTAGATTTTGGCAAATTAGGAAGAGACTGCTGTCCACACACTAAGTCTTTCTTGGTAGGAGGATTACATTTTCCCACAGAAACACTTCATGAAGGCTGTTTCCCGGGTCAGCCAAAACCAAAACAGAATGGCTCAACCCCACCATAGCTGAACTGTTCCTAAAAACAGTAGCTTCAGTGTGGAGTGGAAAATCCTGAAACTGCCTTTTGTCCCAAATGTCTGGTGGCCATGCCCATGCACAGCCCTAAGCAAAATGAAGAAACGTGGAATGTTCCTGCAGGGGACTGTAAAATCGAAATGCAAGGGTCTGTGTCTCCACACTGGCTCCTTTCTTCCCCCTTTATCTCCTGTTGTCCAGGTCCCACTCCCTGCTCACCCATCTTGCAGAGCTCATCTTCCTCAGGCTTCCACCCAAAGGGCCCACCCTGAGGCAGCACTTTGCAGACCTGACTGCACCAGGATTCAAACTAAGACCTAAAATCCAAGCAGGTCCTGCCCCTAAGCAATCTAGTCCTGCAGGCCTTCTTTTTCAGTGGAGTTCCCTTTGGTGATTGGAATGCATAGCCACTTCAGGAGAGAAAATTGGAAAGTTTTTTTTTTTTGGTCCCGGGAATCAAATTTGGTTCCTCGCATTTGTGAGGCAGCAGCAGAATCACTGAGCCAAATCCCTGGCCCTGGGAAGTCTTTTAATCCAAGTAGTCTAGGCGTCTGTGGCAGGAGGATAGAATTTCAAGCCTAGTCTGGGCATTTTAGCAATTTAGTGAGACAGCATTTTTAAAATAACTGGGACAGAGCTCAGTGCAAAGGCCCTAGGTTCAGTCTCCCGTATTGCAAGCAAGAATAATTAATAATAATGATGATGATGATACTTAAATAGTACACTCCACCATCTACTAATTCAGTTACCTTGGGCTGATCAACTTTTCCCTTCTGAGCCTCACTTTCCTCATCTCTTGAGGGAGTTGCAGGACCCCAGCAGGCTCCTAGCACTCCATGAACTAGATCAGGCATCGGCCTGCCTCGAACCAGCCAGAATGCCACAGGCTTCTAAGCTAAAGGAGAAAAGGCGCAACTTGGCTTAACTCCTGTCCTACCTTCCAAGTTAATAAAAGCCCTCTGGGATTTAGAGCTGTGTGTCTTACTCAAGTGTGGTTCCCAGAACAACTGGGGACCTGTTGGAAAGGTCAGTCTCAGGCTCCACCTGAGAAGCCCTGGAGACCAACCTAGCAGTCTGGGTTTGAGCAAGCGCCCCAGGGAACTACAGCAGGCTTGGGCAGGCTGTTGTAAGGTGTTCCGACTTCAAGGGACACAGGTTGGAGTTGGGGACACAGAATCCTGCTCTGGAGTCTCCTAGGGGTCAGCTTCTCTATTGTGTTCCGCTTCTAGCAGTTTCATCCCTTCTGTCATTTCTTTCCCAAGTATATTTTCTAAATCCCCAGGGTTGTTCATTTGGCTTGAAAGGCCCCATGGAAATAAAATCAGAGGAGAGAGCAAAAGCACAAAAGGCATTCATCCTGCTGCTTTACCTCGGTTCCTGGTGTTGGAACACATTCAGGGTTAGGTGGTGAATGCACGCATTAGTGGCTGGAGCATAAAGTCCTAGAACCATAGTCTCAGGAGGGTGGGAAGAACTGCTTTTATCCACGCAGTTAAGGGTAGAATCCAGGCGTGCCTGACCCTGACCATCAGAGAGGTGCCCACACCCACATCCAGGTGCCGCGGGTGTGAGCACGGCGCGGGCCGTTCTGTCTGCCAGGAGTAAGGGCAGTGTGATGAAGGGGAAGTCAGGAAGCCATCTTGGAGGGGCAGGAGCTCCGAGGGTGAGGAAAGGTCTCGAAGGAGAATGTGCTGAAGGCCAAGCGGAGGAACTCACTTCCTGGTAGCACTAAACAGGGAGAATTCCCAGGACACCAACTGACAGACCTGTGAGGAGCTTGGATTTCCTCTCATAGGCCCTGGGAACTAAGGGGAAGGGGGCAAGATGTACTTGTGCTTCGGAACAGAGCACCCTTCCTGATGGAGAGAACTCCTCAGACATTGCTGAGTGCAAAAAGAACTAACAAGTGTGAAACTAAACAGGAAAATAAGAAATGTGATTGAAAAATGTATGTGTTTCAGTAAAAATAATTATTATACTATAGATACATTATACATTGCCTTTAATCCTACTCAAAATACTCCCCCTGGTTTCAAATACACTTATCTGGCCATTATTTCGACTTTCTGAAACGGTTCTGGAAATCCTTTCATAACTGTCCTTAGTTGTGCTGTCATGGCTGCCTTGATGTGTTGAACTGATTTAAAACATTTTCATTTTACACAGTCATTTGTCTCTGGGGAAGAGACAGAAGTGTCGCAGTGCCCAACCCGGTAAATAGGGTGTGTGAGGACACGTGGCTGTGTTTTGAGGAGCCCGCCTTTCTTTTGGGTGGCATTTGGCAGCAGCATTCACCATATTTTTTATCAGGCCTTGTAAAGACAAGAAAGAGGTCTTTCAGAACTGCTTCAGAAAGTGGCGTGAATAATGAAATAAGTGTGTTTGAAGTGAAGGGAATATTTTGAAGGCAATGTGTCTTTTACTGTAATAATTTTTTAAATTCAATCAATCACTGTATTTTCCAGTTACCCTTTTAGCAATGTGGCATTATACCAAGTTTTCCAAGAAATGGGGTTTATGTGGACATTACCTCATCTATAATTATTTTTAATAAAACAGTATATTTGTAAGTCATTTGCAGAAATACCAGAGAAAAAGTGTTTTAATTATTCTGGCCAATATCTGGCATAAATGATGTAGAGGGAAGCAGTAAGATTCAGGGAGGACTGTCAGGAAAAACTGACAATTGTAAGACTGAGGGTATTATGGCGGGGTGTGGTGGCACACGCCTGTAATCCCAGCACTCGGGAGGCTGAGGCAGGAGGATCGCGGCGAGTTCGAAACCTACCTGGGCTACATAGTGAGTTCCACATTACTCTCAACTACATAGTGAGACCCTGTCTCAAAAAAAAAAAAAAAAAAAGAT